TCCTTTTCTGTAGCCCTGTGGAACTCCTCTCTACTTGCTAGAAGGGATGCTTCCTCCTTCATGAATTATTTGAGAAAGCCAATTAGATCTTTAAAATGTACTCAGTTGAATTTTGTTTTTTTAACGAACTCTATTCTAAAACACTCGCCCACGTTCACATCCTTGAGACCCACTCAGAATCCCTGATAAGAGCCTTATTCTCACACTGAGTTCCCATTTCTCTACAGCCACTGTCTTGTAGGTACAAAAGTACTGTCCAGCATCTTTAGGCTTCAGGTCAGTGAGGAGGAATTTAGTATCCTGTCCTGTTGAGTTGCATTCTTGCTTGTACCCAGAGTCCTGCAACTTCCCCAGCACGAATGTCACATTCTGGACGTCAGACTGGCACTTGAGGGTCACATTGCTGCTGTGTTCAACCTCTGAGCTGGGCAAGGCATGGAGGAGGGATTTGGAAAATTTCTCTGGAAAGAATTCGGAGTTAGTTTGACTCTTCATCTTGGTGACCACCAAAACCCTCCTAGAATTCAGAGGATGAAAGGGAAAAGGTCATGAAACTTGGGGCACAGGAACAGATTCTAAGTGGGAGACAACTTACCATGATTTTTCTCATCTTCATTGCCCAGACAAAGCCCTGGAAGAGAAACTCTCATGAGAGATGAATTATATGTTTGTCTTTTTTTTTTTAATTGAAGTAGAGTTGATTTACAATGTTGTGTTAGTTTCAGGTGTACAGCAAAGTGATTCAGTTATATAATATTCTTTTTCAGATTCTTTTCCCTTGTAGGTCATTACAAAATATTGAGTATAGTTTTCTGTGCTATATAATAGGTCCTTGTTGGTTATCTATTTTGTACATAGTAGTGTGTATATGTTAATCCCAAACTCCTAATTTATCCCTCCCCGCCCTTTCCCCTTTGGTAACCATAAGTTTTTTTTCTATGTCTGTAATTCTATTTCTTTTCTTTCTTTTTTTTTTTTTTTTTTTGCGGTACGCGGGTCTCTCACTGCTGTGGCCTCTCCCGTTACGGAGCACAGGCTCCAGACGCGCAGGCTCAGCGGCCATGGCTCACGGGCCCAGCCGCTCTGCGGCATGTGGGATCCTCCCAGACCAGGGCATGAACCCGTGTCCCCTGCATCGGCAGGCGGACTCTCAACCACTGCGCCACCAGGGAAGCCCCTATTTCTGTTTTGTAAATAATTTCTTTCATATCTTTTTTTAGATTCCATATATAAGTGATATCATATGATATTTGTCTTTCTCTGACTTACTTCACTAAGTATGATAATCTCTCTATGCTTGTCTTTGAGTAAAAATCAGGCAGAGACTGTGTGACTCATCTGTTAAAGATCTGCCTTATTCCTTGCAGGTGCTTCCCTGGGTTTATTTTTTCACCTTTTACTTTTGTCCCATTGTCTGTCATTCGGAAGTTATGTTTACAGCGGTGATCGTTGTGTAACGTATAAAAATACCGAGTCACTATGTTGTACACCTGAAACTAATACAACATTGTAAGTCAATTATACTTCAATTAAAAATAAATAAGTACATAAAAGTTATTTCCCAGGCACCATCTCAAAAAATAAAATAATGTTATGTTTATGTAAAAAATGCCAGCAACTTTTTCTGATATATTGCATTCCTTTCGTAATTAGTCCTTCTTCTTCCATCCGGAAATCACTGAACATTTACCTACATTTTCTGTGACTGCAATTTTTATGCTTTCCACTTAAAGAATGCAACAGTTGTTTACTGTGGAGTGTCCATGTGGGTTTCCACCCACATTCAAATGGGGAGGATTTGCTCTCCATGACGGGGTCGTTCTTTTCACCAAGAATTGTAGATGTTTTCTGGTCCCAAATGCTCCCCGCACTTGCAGCTTTGATCCTTACGTACTTTAGCCCCTACTTCTGTGCTCTATTCTTTATATTTCATTCTGGGATGGGGACGTTAACCCACGGATGGAAATAAGGGACCCCAGTCCCATATTGTGGGGGAAATGGATGCCAGTCTCGGGCCTCTGTTAATGGGTGAAGCTAGAATTTCTGTAGACATGAGAGTGACTCAGGACATCTGGCCCTTGTTTCCACTCAGGGATGGACTCAAAACACAAGCCCCCAAGCTTCACCAGGAAGCAGGGAGGTGGGGGAGTGACAGTGGACCGAGGCTGCATTAGCAGTGAGAATGGTACACTGATGGTAGGAAATCAGTTTCTGGGTGGTCAAGGGGGTCCCAGGTCTCATGGTCTCTTTTTAGGCCCTCCGCGTATTCTGCTTTTAGTCTCACGTCGCCTCAGCTGTGTTGTCAGCCAGTCTTCTGCTCAAAGGGTGATTCCTAGTCTTCCTTTTTTATTTTTAATAAGCACACAATTGCCTTAGGTTCACTTTACATCAAGAAACCCTACTAAGGAGTAGGTAAACATTGGGAGAGGGGTTCTCTGTTTTTGACAAATAAAACTGTAATGTATTCAGAGTGTACAACGTGATGATTTGATGTATGTATACATTGTAAAATGATCACCACATTGAAGCTAGTTAACACATCTCTCACCTCAGAAAATTACCTTTTCTGTGTGTGTGAGAATGCTCATGATCCATTCTCTGAGCCAATTTCGATATTAGTAACTATAGTCACTGTGCTGTTCATTAGATCCGCAGAACCTATTTTTTTCTTTAATTTATTTTTGTCTGTGTTGGGTCTTTGTTGCTGGCCTTCTCTAGTTGCGGCGAGCGGGGGCTACTCTTTATTGTGGTGCACGGGCTTCTCATTGCGGTGGCTTCTCTTGTTGTGGAGCACAGGCTCTAGGCGCGTGGGCTCAGTAGTTGTGGCCCATGGGCTCCAGAGTGCGTGGGCTTCAGTAGTTGTGGCGCATGGGCTTAGTTGCTCCATGGCATGTGGGATATTCCCGGACCAGGGATCGAACCCGTGTCCCCTGCATTGGCAGGCGGATTCTCAACCACTGCCCCACCAGGGAAGCCCTTAGTTCTTTCTTAATAAAGGACCACAGTTGACTTAGGCAGAGAACTGGCTGCAATGAAGACACTTGTTACTAAGGGGAAGAGACCCACTGGCATGTAGGGTAGCTTGAAAAAGCAAAGAATAAAGGGATAGCTCCTTGGAGTTTAGTAGAATTCTGAGGTTGGGAGCAGTGGGCAACATAAGTAAGCACACTTCACTGGAAATAATTACAATAAATAGCTACCAACCGGCGAGTATTTATCATTTGGTAGTCTCTTTACATACGTCAGCCATTTACATACTTACATAATTTAGCAGGTCCTTCACAGATAACTGTCTTCTACCATACAGCCACCCTCTCTGCCTGACTCAGCCACGCATCACACATTTAACATTTAGTATGGTCTTCACATACACCACATGGAGAGCTGTACAATTTCCATGCTAGAAAGGGAGGAGTGGGTGACACTAGAAACCATAGCTCTCCAGAGAAGGGGAAAATTACTATGATGTTGTGACTTATAACAAGAAACATAGGGACTTCCCTGGTGGTCCAGTGATAAAGAATCTGCCTTCCAATGCAGGCGACGCAGGTTCGATCCCTGGTCGGGGAACTAAGATCCCGCGTGGTGCAGGCAACATTCCGGCAACCTGGAGCCTGCGCACCACAACTAGAGAGAGAAAACCCGCACGCCACAACTAGAGAGAAGCCCGCGCGCCTCAACGAATGATCCCACATGCCTCAACGAATATCCCGCCTGCCGCAACTAAGACCGGACACAGCCAAAAACAGAAACAAAACAAAAAACAAAATGAAAGAAAAAGAAACATGTATTGGGTCTTTGTCCCTGGTCCTGGCACAGAGCTCCTAAAACCCTTGGAATTCCCTAAGTGTTGAGAGATGTAAAGGTGTCTTTACCAAGTTCACCAAGTTCACATGAGGTCATGCTGGAGTAGGCGGGGAGCCTAACCCAGCAGGAGACAGAACACAGGGAGGGAAGATGGCCACGTGACCGTGTGAGGCTTTGCAGTGATGCGTCTACACACCAAGGGATGCCAAGGGTTGCCAGCCATCTCCCAACCAGGATCGAGGAGAGAGGCATGGAATAGACTCTCCCTCAGAGCACCCCCCTCCCCCCCAGAAGGAATCAACCCTGCTGACACCTGGATTTTGGACGTCTGGCCTCCAGAACGGTGAGAGAGTAGATGTCTCTTGTTTTAAGCCGCCCGATTTGCGGTGATTCGTTACGGCAGCCCCAGGAAATAAAGGTGAGGAGGACGAGGTCGGTGACCGCCCCGTTTATTCTGCCCTGCAGCTGGAGGTTTGGGGTATGGTGACCGGCCTCTCACGCTCAGATGTGTGCGTGGGAGAAGCATGACCTCAAAGGGAAGGGCTGAACCCAGAAGAAGGAAGAAGGAACTAGGGCAGATGTTGAGCCCTAATGTCCTCCACACCACCCCTTCCCCCACCCCACCCCACTCACGCAGGAGGAACTAGGTACTCAGTCTGGTGGGACTCCTGTTTCAAATTCTGGGGCTCCCGTGAGACCAAGCCAAGATTCTATTCCAGGTCTTCCATCCTAGAAGCTGAGGTCTGTTTGATCACCTTATGTTCCAGTTAAGGATGGTTGAAATCAGGCTAAGGATGGGGCTGGTCAGAAAACGTTCTCCGTATCCACTGTTCGCTGCCTTAGGGTCACAGGGGAGAGCAAATCTGACTCCACATTGGATCTGTTTCTTTTCCTTTAACCTTTGTATTCTATTGCTTTTGCTACAAGTTAATCACTAAAGGGATGTTGCCTATAAACTGAAAGTAGACATAACGGCCCACTTCTAGGAACCTTGGCTCCCATGCCTGAGCCTTAAGCTAAAATACCTTTGTTCAGCTCACAGGAAACATCCTGACCAGGCCCACGCGTGCATGGCTGCAGGAAAGAAGAAGTTAATGTACCCCCTCCGAAGTCTCGTGGGAACAGGAAATATTTGTAACAACTTGTTGCCTTTTTTTTACTTTAACTCCTCACCTCTCCCTCTTGGTTCTAGAAAAGAAACTCGCACCCAGACCCCCGGCAAGATGGTTTTTGGGGACACTAGTCCACCATCTTCTTGGTCTGCTGGCACTGTTCCTTGCCCCAACAACTTGTCTCTCCTGAATCATTGGTCCGTCATGCTGCACGCAGTACAAGTTTGGACTCGGTAACGGTAGGTCTTTTCTGTATTCCTCGTTCATAACCAAACTCACAGCTTTTCACACCCTGCAGACCCTGCCCTCCTATATGCCAGTGGAACATTCAAGGCGAGACGGTGGTATGTAGATGGTACACACGTGGAGGTCCCATCGGAGCTGTGCATGTCTCAGCCAATTAAACCAAGGGTATTACCACACGTCTCTGCACCTCTGCTCCCTCATCCCTTTTGTGTGAGCACCAGAACGACAGCATGTGGGTACCACAGCCGGTACATTGTACCCAACACACAGAAGCCATAATTTCTGTACTTGTCACATCCCCCGTGTTAACCCCCACTCCACCGTGAATGTTCTCACCCATCCAAACCCATCTGTCCCCGTCCTGGAGACTCACCGAGGTGAAGCAGGGACAGGAATTCTGTGATCATAGCGTCCCTTCTGCCCGGACCAAGATGCCGTGTTCAGTCTTACAGTTCAAAGGAAGAAACTGCACTGGGCAATTGCAACTCCCTCCTGCTCTCTCTGTCCAGAGGAGGTGGGGCGAGAGGTTTTGCTCTGACACTTTGCTTCTCCACTACTTGGTGTACAGCTTCCTTCTCACAACTGACTCAGGAAACCAGAAGTCACCAATGATAACATCTTCCTCCACCCACCCTGAGATCTCTTCTGTCTCATCTGAAGTCCTGCCCAAGATATTTTCTTTAAAAATAATTTGTCTTTTCAATAGTCTTATTTTTATTTTTTTAATATTTATTTATTTATGGCTGCGTTTGGTCTTCGTTGCTGCATGTGGGTTTCCTCTAGTTGGGATGAGCAGGGGCTACTCTTCATTGTGGTGCGTGGGCTTCTTATTGTGGTGGCTTCTCTTGTTGCGGAGCATGGGCTCTAGGCACGCAGGCTTCAGGAGTTGTGGCACGCTGGCTCAGGAGTTGTGGCTCAAGGGCTCTAGAGAGCAGGCTCGGTAGTTGTTTAAAATGTGTTAATTTCTGCTGTACAACAAATAGAATCAGCTGTACGTATACATATATCCCCATATCCTCTCCCTCTTGTGCCTCCTTCCCACCCTCCATATCCCACCCCTCTATGTCGTCACAACGCACCGAGCTGATCTCCCTGTGCTATGTGGTGGCTTCCCACTAGCCATCCATTTTACATTGGTAGTGTATATATGTCAATGCTACTCTCTCACTTCATCCCAGCTTCCCCTTCCCCCCTGTGTCCTCAAGTCCATTCTCTACGTCTGCATCTTTATTCCTGCCCTGCCACTAGGTTCATCAGTACTGCTTTTTTAGATTCCATATATATGCGTTAGCATATGGTATTTGCTTTTCTCTTTCTGACTTACTTCACTCTGTATGACATACTCTAAGTCCATCCACATCACTACAAATAACTCAATTTCATTCCTCTTTATGGCTGAGTAATATTCCATTGTATAAATGTGCCACATCTTCTTTATCCATTCATCTGTTGATGGACATTTAGATTGCTTCCATGTCCTGGCTATTGTGGTACATGTATCTTTTTGAATTATGGTTTTCTCAGGGTATATGCCCAGTAGTGGGATTGCTGGGTCATATGCTAGTTCTATAAATAGTTTTTTAAGGAAACTCCATACTGTTCTCCATAGTGGCTGTATCAATTTACATTCCCACCAACAGTGCAGGAGGGTTCCCTTTTCTCCACACCCTCTCCAGGATTTATTGTTTCTAGATTTTTTGATGATGGCCATTCTGACCAGTGTGAGGTGATACCTCATTGTGGTTTTGATTTGCATGTCTCTGATAATTAGTGATGGTGAGCATCTTCATGTTTCTGTTGGCAATCTGAATGTCTTCTTTGGAGAAATGTCTATTTAGGTCTTCTGCCCATTTTAGGATTGGGTTGTTTGGGGTTTTTTGATATTGAGCTGCATGAACTGCTTGTACATTTTGGAGATTAATCCTTTGTCAGTTTCTTCGTTTGCAAATATTTTCTCCCATTCTGAGTGTTGTCTTTTTGTCTCAGTTTTGTTTTCCTTTGCTGTGCAAAAGCTTTTAAGTTTCATTAGGTCCCATTTGTTTATTTTTTTAATTTCCGTTTCTCTAGGAGGTGGGTCAAAAAGGATCTTGCTGTGATTCATGTCATAGAGTGTTCTGCCTATGTTTTCCTCTAAGAGTTTTATAGTGTCTGGCCTTACATTTAGGTCTTTAATCCATTTTGAGTTTATTTTTGTGTGTGGTGTTAGGGAGTGTTCTAATTTCATTCTTTTACATGCAGTTGTCCAGTTTTCCCAGCACCACTTATTGAAGAGATTGTCTTTTCTCCATTGTATATTCTTGCCTCGTTTGTCAAAGATAAGGTGACCATATGTGTGTGGGTTTATCTCTGGGCTTTCTATCCTGTTTCATTGATCTATATTTCTGTTTTTGTGCCAGTACCATACTGCCTTGATTACTGTAGCTTTGTAATATAGTCTGAAGCCAGGGAGCCTGAGTCCTCCAGCTCCGTTTTTCTTTCTCAAGATTGCTTTGGCTATTCGGGGTCTTTTGTGTTTCCCTACAGATTGCAAAATTTCTTGTTCTAGTTCTGTGGAAAATGCCATTGGTAATTTGATAGCGATTGCATTGAACCTGTAGATTGCTTTGGGTAGAATAGTCATTTTCACAATATTGATTCTTCCAATCCAGGAGCATGGTGTATCTATCGATCTGTTTATGTCATCTTTGATTTCTTTCATTGGTGTTTTATAGTTTTCTGAGTACAGGTCTTTTACTTCCTTAGGTAGGTTTATTCCTAGGTATTTTATTCTTTTTGTTGCGATGGTAAATCGGATTGTTTCCTTAATTTCTCTTTCTGATCTTTTGTTGTTAGTGTACAGGAATGCAAGAGATTTCTATGCATTAATTTTGTATCCTGCAAACTTAAAAAATTCATTAATTAGTTCTAGTAGTTTTCTGGTGGCATCTCTAGGATTTTCTATGTATAGTATCATGTCCTCAGCAAACAGTGACAGTTTTACTTCTTCTTTTCCAATTTGTATTCCGTTTTCTTCTCTGATTGCCGTGGCTAGGACTTCCAATACTACGTTGAATAATAGTGGTGAGAGTGGACATCCTTGTCTTGTTCCTGATCTTAGAAGAAATGCTTTCAGTTTTTCACCATTGAGAATGATGTTTTCTGTGGGTTTGTCATATGTGGCTTTTATTACGTTGAGGTAGGTTCCCTCTGTGCCCACTTTCTGTAGAGTTTTTATCATAAATGGGTGTTGAATTTTCTCAAAAGCTTTTTCTGCATCTATTGAGATGATCATATGGTTTTTATTCTTCAATTTGTTAATATGGTGTATCACATTGATTGTTTTTTGTATATTGAAGAATCCTTGCATCCCTGGGATGAATCCCACTTGATCATGGTGTATGATCTTTTTAATGTGTTGTTGGATTGTGTTTGCTAGTATTTTGTTGACGATTTTAACGTCTATGTTCATCAGTGATATTGGTCTGTAATTTTCTTTTCGTGTGATATCTTTGTCTGGTTTTGGTATCAGGATGATGGTGGCTTCATAGAACGGGTTTGGGAGTGTTCCTCCCTCTGCAATGTTTTGGAAGAGTTTGAGAAGGATAGGTGTTAACTCTTCTCTAAATATCTAATAGAATTCACCTGTGAAGCCATCTCGTCCTGGACTTTCGTTTGTTGGAAGATTTTTTTTTAACATCTTTATTGGAGTATAATTGCTTTACAGTGGTGTGTTAGTTTCTGCTGTATAACAAAGTGAATCAGCTATACATATACATATATCCCCATATCTCCTCCCTCTTGCATCTCCCTCCAACCCTCCCTATCCCACCCCTCTAGGTGGTCACAAAGCACCGAGCTGATCTCCCTGTGCTATGCAGCTGCTTCCCACTAGCTATCGATTTTACAGTTGGTAGTGTATATATGTCCATGCCAGTCTCTCACTTTGTCCCAGCTTACCCTTCCCCCTTCCGTTAGAAGATTTTTTTTGTGTGTGTGGTACGCGGGCCTCTCACTGTTGTGGCCTCTCCCGTTGCCGAGCACAGGCTCCGGAAGCGCAGGCTCAGCGGCCATGGCTCACGGGCCTAGCCGCTCCGTGGCATGTGGGATCTTCCCGGACCGGGGCACAAACCCGTGTTCCCTGCATCGGCAGGCGGACTCTCAACCACTGCGCCACCAGGGAAGCCCCTGGCAGGTAGATTCTTAACCACTGGGCCACCAGAGAAGTCCTGTTTATCTTTTTAAAAATAATAAATGTATTTATTTATTTATTTTTGGCTGAGTTGGGTCTTTGTTGCTGCACGCAGGCTTTCTCTGGTTGTGGCGAGAGGGGTTACTACTCGTTGCGGTGCGTGGGCTTCTCACTGCAGTGGCTTCTCTTGTTGCAGAGCACGGGCTCTAGGCATGCGGGCTTCAGTAGTTGTGGCACGTGGGCTCAGTAGTTGTGGCTTACGGGCTCTAGAGCACAGGCTCAGTGGTTGTGGCGCACGGGCTTAGTTGCTCCGCAGCATGTGTGATCTTCCCGGACCAGGGCTTGAACCTGTGTCCCCTGCATTGGCAGGCGGATTCTTGACCAGTGCACCACCAGGGAAGCCCTATCTATTTTATACACAGTAGTTTGTATCTGTTAATTCCCCACCCCGATGTTGCTCCTCCCACCTTCCCTCTCCCCACTGGTAACCAGTAGTTTGTTTTCTCTATCGGTGAGTCTGTTTCTGTTTTGCTATACACATTCGTTTGTATTATTTTTCAGACTCCACATATAAGTGATATCATACAGTATTAGTCTTTCTCTGTCTTAAATATTGATAGCTTTAGAGTCACAAAAAAATAGTACAGAGTTCTCATTACCCCATCAGTCAGCTTTTCTGATGGTGATATAACTACAGTACATTATCAAAACCAGGAAATCGGCATTAACACAATACACTGGCTGGGCAAGCACATACTACCACCTAAAATGTAGTGATCTCTGATAAGAGCTGGACACTCACTGGCCCTGAGAGCAGGTAGGTCA